ATTCTTTTGTTACTGGCAGCCACATAGATCAGTCCTGCCCATACATATAAATTCATTCCTCAGAGTTTATATAATAATGCTGGATCAAACTGAGAGCATGGCATTTATTCTTTTAAAAAATCATCTGGATTTGGTACATCTTCTTGTATTTTCTTTACAGTGATCACCTGGCTATGCAATGTTGCATATCAAATAAGAATTGAAATCATAGAAGATCACAGCAGGACTGCAGGATCTTATGCAGTTAATAAGCAGAAGCAGGGGTGGGAACTATTTTGCTGTAATACCACCTCTAAAAATCCAAATGGAATTTAATTTCTTAGGTTTACTGGATGTCAGTCAGGAAGTTGATATGCAGAGAAAAATCTACCCAATATTACTAAATACCAAACATGTAAAGAAATTTCAAAGATGTGTGCAAACAATTTTGGTCATCTTTTCCTAGTTAACAGTGGTGATATCAGTGGTAAAATTCAAAAATTTTCCCTACCGGTTCTATGGGAGTGGATTGGTGGGCGTGGCTTGGTGGGTGTGGCTTAGTGGTCATGTGACTGGGTGGGCATGGCTTGGTGGTCATGTGACTGGGTGGGCATGTCTTGGTGGTCATGTGACCAGGAAAACCAACTATCATACTTTACACAGAAATAACACAAAAGCTACACACTGATTCACACACAATTCAAAAGCAGCTGGGCTTCACACAAAATGGCCACTGCAACAAGCAGGAACCTCACAGAGTCACAGAGAGCTCAAAAACAAACTATCACACTTTACACAAAAATACCGGTCCGGGCAATAGGTAGTAAAAAATGCTTTAAAAAGTAAAAAAAAAAAAAAGTTCCGACGATCACGTGGCACAGCTGATTGTCACAGCTGATTGTTGGAACCTTTTTTAAAAAACTTTTTTTTTAGTATTTTTTACTATCTATTTGCCCAAACCGGTAGTAAAAAATGCTTTAAAAAAGTAAAAAAAAAAGTTCCAACTATCAGCTGTGACGCGTGATCATTGGAATTTTTTTTTTTACATTTTAAAGCATTTTTTTTACTATTGGTTCAGGTGAACCAGCAGCGCTTTTACTACTGGTTTGGGAAAAACAGGCCCGAACCAGAGGCATTTCACCCCTGGGTGATATCCTAACACAGTAAGTGAGAACATGAAACAAAATTTATATTTGTCTAAACCTAAGAAGAATAGTGTAGGATATGAATAAGAGGATTTTTCTTTCTCAAAAAATCAAGCAAACCAGAATTCCCATGCTCCCATTAGGATGTAATCTAGCTAATTTTTTAAAAATTAGAACTCAGAATAATATCATTCAGTTTACTGTTACAGAAATAGTGATGCCCACCTTTCTTGAAAATGAGCACACAAAAGGACTTGGAATTTGGTTATTCAGGATAATGGCTAGTATGAGATAAGAGAGCAATTCCCACACCCTGCTAACACTGATGATGTTACCTAGTTGGGTAACAAAAAATCTGCAAAAAAGCCTAACAAGCTCAGAGAGCACCAGGGCCCCCATTGTTCAACCCTGAGGTATAAATATTATTTTCTATCTATTTTCTAAATGACTAGTAAATTGTTTGTGAACATATAATTTTCATACATCTTCCTCCTGTTCTGCATATTAAACTGACATATTTCTGCATATTCTTATGGCAAAATCATTGTTAAGTGTGGAAAGTTTTCAATTTGTTTTTAAACAAAATACATTATAAAAGATGCCTGACTTACGGTTTATAAGACCAATATCTCCAATGCATCACACACATTTTCATTCAATTTGGGATATACCTGGGTAGCAAATTTTACCTGGAAACAGTTATCCAATGAAAACCTTCCAATATTTTATTACCTGCCTTCTTGGATTAGTTCTCAGAGACTCATTCTGTAGTTTTAGGGACTTCCTTTATTTCTGCTCTTCTCCCCCACCCACCCCCCACCCCAAAGATAATAGCATTCATGAAATCAGGATCTTCTATTTTCTCCCATACTAGTAGGGGGAAAAAAAAGATTATCTAACTGTCCTCTCCATGCAGTAAGGAAAATGCCAAGTTTATCTTTTCTAATGCTGTCGAAGAGCATGATTGTCTAAATGGCACTGACACAAATGAATATTAATATTAATTACAGCAAACTCAAATTGTTACATTTCCAGTAGGGTTTTACTTGTGCTTAGGTAAGAGTTTTTGGTTTTTTTTTATCATCAGTAAATAAGACTGTAACTGTCATTCTCCATATCACCATAGTTGCTCTGCAAATTTATACTTCTCCATTTCACCCTTAGCATAATAAGCTTCCTGAATAGATATCTATGATAAAGATACCTTACCAACCTTGTCATTTCAATTTTTCACACATATTCTTTGTGGGTGACTTTCAGTGAAGTTTTAATTCATTAAGCAGCTGCCATAAGCTATTAGTCTGAAACGTATGTGTGTGTGTGCGCGTGTGCATAATCTCTATCATCTATCTCTTAATTTCTCTATCTCTCCCTCTCTCTACATATATATCATCTATCTATCTATCTATCTATCTATCTATCTATCTATCTATCTATC